TTGATCAGCATTTGATATAGTTTAAAGTGTGTCTCGATTGCTCTGTCAACAAATAGGAATGAAGACAAAAACACTACCAGTGTATGAAAAGTAGGAGAGTGTTAAGATCCAAAGTAAAGAAAGTGTCATGGACCAAGTAAAGCTAACACTGAATCCTAAGCCAAGCACACACATACATACACACACACACACACACACACACACACACACACTCACAGACAGCAGCAGCAGCAGTCACAGTAAATATGCAGGAATGTGACTTGGTGACACTAGTATAGATATATATGACTTAGAGTTCACACTGACATACTGCAAAATGGCAAAAAAAAAAACAAAAAAAACTTTATGTCCTTTTAAGTCTCTTTACCCCTCCAATAAAAAAAAATCATGATCATGCCCCCAGAAATTTCTGTCTTTGTTTGCTTTTACATATTTGTCATATCAGATAGTTTCATTTGGGGGTATTGCTATCACCAAAGTAAAACCACAAGAGACGGCTACAATTATTCTGTAGTATTAGGGGAAAGTTTAGCTAAACTGTTCTAAATTATGCTAAGCTACAACTAAACTAAGCCAAAGTAGAATAACATAAGCTATAAACTTAGACTATGGTTTTGCTAATCTTAGAGACACACTGTATGTCTGTGTTCAAAGAGAGCTGGGAAGATATGTCTGCCAGGATACCAGGAAGTAAGAATTTCAGGAACAAAACATAATTGTGTGTTTATGTAGCCTTTTTTGAGGGATAACAAATCTGTGATACACAATGAGCGATATTGCAGCTGTGAAAACAGGTGGCAAAGTAAAATATGGCTTAAGGCTAAAGACAACAACCTACTGAGGAACCCAGCAGCAAAGTCATCTGTAGATACTTTCTTGCACTTCCCGGTGTTTCTGATTTACTCGCGACCCTGTTAACTGGCGACCTTCAGCCTAATGCGTCTGTGGTTGTCGTAGTGACAACAGCTGTTTTCAACCAGGAAGAGAACACGTAGCTGTCCTCGCGAAGGCCTCTTTATTCAGTTTTTCATAACAATATCAAAACATAGCCGACCTGATCCGTCTTTGGACTCTTGTTGGAGGAACCCAGTCACGGACCGACACTCAGTCGCGGTTTGAATCACACTTGTTATGACGGAATGTTGAAAACAGGAAGAGGCCAAGTTGCTTTTCCTGTAAATCTAACTCCTATCTCGAATAAATTTTCTAAATAGGCCTACACAGTTTCGTCTCTGGTGCCTGCCTAAATAAACATGTGCCATATTAAAGAACCGTTCAGCCCTGTGAAACGTAAAAAAGAATATTTTCACGGGATTCGAACCCGCTTCATTATGGGAAAATAAATTAAAAGCGCATAATTAACATGGTGCACCACTATGACAACACCATTTCACTGACAGATCCATTAAAAACCCGACAACATACAGCCAGCTATGTCTTCAAATTGAGAGGTAGCCAGATCAACTTGTGACCACACTGTCCATGCACTGAGGAACATTTTACAATCTCACTGCTTTCCAATAGAAAAAAACAGCGGTTTTAAATCCACTTAATTCATAAACCTAACGTTTATTGTTGTGCTACAGGCCAATAAAGCCAATATTCATATACTCACGTGGAAATACTTTATTTTAAATTAAGCAATAAAGCAGCAGCTGTATAAATCCAGTTAGGCCTACTTCATAAACATAACATGTTGTAGCCTTCATAGGCAACAATGAAAATCACATCTTTTATGTAAACCTAGAAATAACAATAAATACATTTGAGGGTGGTTCAGAAAAAAACACACATGGTAGGCTATATGGTATACCAAACATGTACAGTGAAGAAACAAGTAAGATCCTGCAACATAACCACAACTCCTTTGGCCAAAAGGTCATATTTCCTTGAGATGACGCACAAGTAGATTTGATGTACTCATCTGGCTGTCATTCATGTAACTAAACTTGCATTCAGTGTTCACCTTTTATTAATGTGGCTGTGCTTGTAGTTTCCAGCAGATCATTGTTTACTCGGTAGCATTGTGCTGGTAGGAAACATGACATCGGAACTAAGTGAAAGTGTCAAAAGTCAAGTTAATATTCTACACAAATAGGGACTTTCTCAGATTAGTTTGCCGTTGGATGATAGATAAAATAGAGCATGAAACCCATTTATAAAGAGGTGTGCCTTATTAGGCCCACTTGGCAAAACCATTCTACATTGGTGTGGAGTGTCTGGGTCCAGTAATGGGGTATGGGGGTATTAGCCATTCTCTTTGTTGCTCACTAATTTCTGCCTATGAGAGGAAATCACTGTTGAACCCAAAATGAATATCCGAATATCCAAAGTCAAACTAACTTCACCTCGGTACTCTAAAACGCTTTGCAGGGGTTAATGGACTTAAATACCACATAGCCTACAGCCTAGTGTTTGTCATATTTGTACGCTTTTAATCGCCTTAATGCTACAACATAAATAGATAATTTATCTTAGAGATAAATCTATTATACAGCTGCTGCTTTATTGCTTAATTTAAAATAAAGTATTTCCACGTGAGAATATGAATATTGGCTTTATCGACCTGTAGCACAACAATAAACGTTAGGTTTATGAATTAAGTGGATTTAAAACCGCTGGTTTTTGTATTGGAAAGCAGTGAGATTGTAAAATGTTCCTCAGTGCATGGACAGTGTGGTCACAAGTTGATCTGGCTGCCTCCCAATTTGAAGACATAGCTGGCTGTATGTTGTCGTATTTTTAATGGATCTGTCAGTGAAGTGCTGTTGTCATAGTGGTGCACCACGTTAATTATGCACATGTAATTTATTTTCCCATAATGAAGCGGGTTCGAATCCCGTGAAAATATTCTTTTTTACGTTTCACAGGGCTGAACGGTTCTTTAATATGGCACATGTTTATTTAGGCAGGCACCAGAGACGAAACTGTGTAGGCCTATTTAGAAAATTTATTCGAGATAGGAGTTAGATTTACAGGAAAAGCAACTTGGCCTCTTCCTGTTTTCAACATTCCGTCATAACAAGTGTGATTCAAACCGCGACTGAGTGTCGGTCCGTGACTGGGTTCCTCCAACAAGAGTCCAAAGACGGATCAGGTCGGCTATGTTTTGATATTGTTATGAAAAACTGAATAAAGAGGCCTTCGCGAGGACAGCTACGTGTTCTCTTCCTGGTTGAAAACAGCTGTTGTCACTACGACAACCACAGACGCGTTCGGCTGAAGGTCGCCAGTTAACAGGGTCGCGAGTAAATCCGAAACACCGGTATATTCGGTTAAAGCCGCTACAAGGAACTTTTAACTGGATATGCAAAAGTCTCTCGTTTCTGCTGATGTCTATGCGTGACCTACAACAGCAAATGAGACCATCGGTGTGAAGATAAGCTATTTCTATATAGTGTATATCATACCTTTAGTAAACTGTCTCTGGGTCCGCTCCAAGTCGCTTCCAGGACGAAACGATTTACGGCACTCAGATGGCACACGTCATCTTACCTAGCTGCTTACATTTATAGTGACTTATAAATAGTCGCTATTCCTCCTCCTTGACCTGACGTCCGCGGGGAGTTAAAATAGCAGCAATCATCGGGTAAAAGTTCTGTGAAAGCACTGGACTCACCAACAGTCAGCCACGTCTCAGTCACACAGAGAAAATCCAATCCTCGGGAAGTCAGGAAATCCTTCATGAACGTTTTGTTCGCTAGCGATCTAGCATTTACCAGCCCAATCCTGGTAGGAGCCGGTGGGTCCACGGTGTTAGCTGTCTGGGGAGCCACACACAGAGCCCACTGGTTGTGCAGATTCACCCCGCGCCAGCGGGGACGAGGAGAGCAGGGGCCGCGGGGCTGGAACACCTCATCCAGGCTGACGACAGGTACCAGCCAGGCGTTGACAGGGTCCAGCGAGTGCCGAGAAATAAAGAGGCGAGGCACCGCTCCATACTCAGTCCAAGAAGCCGTGGAAGTGCTCGCCAAACAGGCCTTCAGCCTTACTAGCCGACCGCTGCGTTTACCCCGGCAGCGGTGGCGCTTACGCCAGAGAGGTGGAGCTGGGTCGCAGCAGAGGTGAGCTGGGATCCCCAATAGGAGCGGGGGCAAAGTTTTCCTGTCTTGTTGTTTCATTCATCCCCAAAACAAACACATGCGCGAGCCAGGTAAGCATCTTTACGACAATACGCACTAGAGCTCATGGGAAATGTAGGCTTCATTCCGGCAAAACACTACCGCTTTTGTCCACAGGGTCGCCAAAATCAACTCAAAATGAAAGTTCCTTGTAGGGGCTTTAATGTTATTATTCATTTGTTAGATTTTCCATGACACATTATGATGTAAAAATACATAAAATAAAAAAAGACATTAAACCTACAGGTCTACATAGTGGAAGTATTCTAGAAAAAGCGTAATAAAATAAATAAAATAAAACAGTGTTTATTGTCACTGGCTATTCATTGTCTACTACAGTAAGTTTCAACATGACAACAAAAATGGCAAATCAAGTCTGGTCATATTTACTATAACACTATATTAAAGTGTCCAGCATAAATGCTTAAGATAAATAGTGACTGATGAAGACATTCAGCTGATAAAACACAAAAATACACACTCACACTGTACACAGTGGGCCAACTCAGTGTTCTCCTAAAGGAGGTTTTGTTTAAAGCTTACAGAACATCAAGATAAATGTCCCTGCTCTTTGAGAAAACCTTGCTTAAGAGTTGCCATTAAGACCCCACAAGCTAAAAACAATTCATGTTTACTTGTGCCCATTGTTATTCAAAGCTCAGTCCTGTTCTCCTGGGTCTGTCCTTTGTTATCTCTGATGTTACCCGGAATTCAAAGGAAAGTCAGTTTCCAAGGTTGCCAAGCTGTTTCCTTTGTAGGCACAATGCTTGTGCGCTTGTGCGCATGTGAGCATGAGCTGTCTTTCTATGCTCAACACTTCACTGCTACCCATAATGCACTGTGGGAAAGGTAACACCCATTACCTGGAGGAAACCAGAGACGGAAACTACCAGTGAAGGGAGAGGAGGAAACAAAATCAAAGACAAAAGGACAGAAGTTTGTGTTTGGATTATCCGTGTTAAATATGAGCAGACTCTTTTGTTTTCAGCCAAGGAGGACTTTATAGACACTTTGGATACTTTTATAGATACTCCAGAGTTTGTATGTACGTTCTGGCTCTACTAAGGTGTGAGTGAGAGAAGCAGGGCAGTCAGAGTAATGGGAGGAGCTGTAGGGCTCTCCATGTACTGACTCACACTCTCTTCATATGGTAAATAGAGGGTCACATGGGGCAATAGTCTTGAAGCAGTGGGGGGAAAAGGGAGGGAAAGGAACAAGGAGAGAGAGTGAAGAGGTACTCTGCAGGACTTTGGCCTTACTCATGAACAGGAGGCGGCACTTTCACCCTGAGTTTAGAGGACACTGGATCCCATTACAAAAAGAAATGAAACACAAGATATAGAGTGAGTGCCATGTGGAGGTCAAACTAAAGCTTTAGCTGCCTCACCAAAGCCTTGGTTTGACTCACTTTGGATCTTTTCTTCCTTTTCCTGTGGAGGGGAAAGTTCAGCAGCTAGTGCCCTCCTGGTTGTTGTCACCTGACAACCCTTCCTGCTTTCTTCTGGACATCTGAAGAGCCAAGATGCCCACCAACTTCACTGTAGTGCCAGTGGAGGACTCAGACAGTGGCAGCAACAGTGGCAGCAACAGCGCGGCTGCAGCTGGAAGCGGCAAACCAGTCAGTTTGGGCAAAATATTTGGGGAGGATGATAGAGGATCTCATTCAGGTAGGAATACAGTGTACATTAAAAACATGCTCATACACTTAGGGAAGTCTGCTTTGAATACCCTCCTATTTCTCCTGAGGGTCATGTGGGAGCTGGAACGTATGCCAGCATGCACTGGGTGAAAGATGTGTTAAATGTATGTGTTTGTTAAACTGCATGCGTCATTGTGTAATTGAACAAGTACAAACGGAAACACGCTGACACAAGCAGCCACATACATGCTATGGCAGGCATATACTGTACACACACACACACACACACACACACACACACACACACAAACAAACAAATACACACACTCAGCTTTTCAGTGACATGATTCAGCTAGCTAGAACTTGCAGGGCAGCATGATTGGTGTGCTAGTAAGGGGGAACTGTGTGTTGTTGTTACTTCACCATGTGCAAATCAGTGGTTTGGGCCCTTTGCTTTATCATGACTGTAGTGTGGGGCTGTATGGAACATGCAGAGAGCTCAGATGTAGCAAAAAAGGTGGGTGTAACATTTTAAGATGGGCAAACTGTGTAACAATAGAAAGTTAGAAATGTTGTTTTATCCTCATTTTACACATTTTAAGATTGATTATTTTACCTCCAACAGACCCACAGTACACAATACTTAAAAAATGCAGATGATTCACACTTACTTTGGATAATCTTCACAAAATGCTTGCAGAAAATGTAGTTTCTACATCTTTTTCAGCCTTGATATTATTATTTTTATTGTTATTGTTATTATTGATAATAATACTAATAGTAATAATGTATTGCACTGGAGTCAAAAGCTGAGATAGCAGCTAGAGATATCTGCTATATAGTCTCGCTCACCAGACCTTTCTCAAGAAAAGAAAGGTCTGGCTGGGCCGACTCTCACTGTGAGATTGGAGAAAAAAACGCCCCGGCTGCTTGTACTTCTTTCAACCAATCACAATCGTTCTGGGCGGTGCCACAGCAACGGTGCGCTTGCAAAAATATTGCCGGGGGGAAACAGATTTTGGTGTAACACGCCCACAAAAATATCACCTACAGGATGCGAGCCATGGCAGAAAAATGGCTACATCCCCGCAAGATCAAACACCGCAAAAGTTAGTAAAGGACGTGTTGAAAACGGTTGAAAACTGCTACACAACCGGAGGTGGTAGGGACTTCAGCGGGTGGCTCGTTCCGCCCAGTGAGAGGCTGATCTCTGCAGCAAACTTCCGCCCACTCAGACTATCTGCTATATAACACTACATAATGCTTTTATTTTATTTTGTCTCATCAATGATTGGATTATGAATTTAGTTTAGCCACTCTACACATTCACACTTCCAACTTGAAAATCCACATGGAAATATGATGGGCTAGGTTCCTCTCCAGCTTCAGATTTGGACATTCAGGGATGGCGTGTCAATTCAGGTTTGCAGGTATGCAGTGTCTTTCCAAATTAAACTCACATTTTTACAGGAAATGTACAATTTCTACTTATTATACAGACTGTATACATTACAAAAGAAACTCAGAACATAAGTAAAGGAACTTCGTTTTAAGGTTTACTTTCTCAGGTTTTAGGCAACAAAAGTACATGGTTAGGTTTAGAAAAAAAACATCATGGTTTAAGTTAAAATAAGTATGTTTGTTTCTAATGTAATGTAACATCACCTACATTCATCATATACGCCACGTGCTACACATGCAATATGGCTCACAATTAATAAACAAATATTAAAGTGTGTGTATATGGTTCCTAAGGCTCTCTGCTTTAATAGACACACTGCTAACACAGACCCCAAATACTGAATAGCCAACATGTTCTCATCCCAAGTGATCACATATCGCCGCTGTGTCAGTGGACTTTCACATCTAAATATTACAGGTTATCCTTTTGCATCTGCTGTTGATTTTCTGGGATGCCACAATCAACTTCAGACCTCAACAAATGCACATGGTCAGGTTTATTAAAAAAATAAACCCATCATGGATTGGCTCTTCATTGCAAGCAACCACTCAGCTCCTGGGTGAAAGCCAGGGGTTTGTTGGACCCATCCACCAACTCTCCCACTTACCCTACAGGGACTTTCCAGCTCATTATATGATGTCATTATCAACAGCATTTCAAACTGATGCCATCAAGTGGTGTATCATACCGCAGCGACAGGTGCAATTGAGAGCGTTATGCTCTGATGCTGCCCGTCCACATATCATAATGCTAATTATTTTGAACAGGCTTATTTTACTGATCAAAATAAATGCATGTTGTTGCAGTAACAATCTGAAAATTATCACAAAGGTACCACTTGTACAAAAATATCGTGGAGTTTGCTTATAACAATTTTGATATGATTTTTTTAAATAGAATTTTTAAAATCAGCCTATGAAGAAATGAATTGTATATTGTTATGATTGTAGCATCTAATTACTAATGGATTACTGAGTTTACAAGGTGCGCTTGAATGTACTATGAAGTCTGTAACACAATTTTACTTTTCCTAGGATTGCAAAGCCCTGCCCTACTCTCCCTCTGACTGGCTAAAACTTGTCGCCTTTGCTGGTTGGGTTGATTAGGTTTAGGTAAGAGGAGTGAGATTGGTTAGGGTAAGAATGTCAGTGTAAGCATATCAGAGGCAAAGTAAGGCAGGTCATGTCTACGCTATCCTAGGAAAAATAAATTTGCATACCTCCAGCACAGACAGACAGAACAGGACAACCGTAAACACAACCTTAAATGAAAACACAAGCCTTCTGAGATTAACTTGTCAAGTGGAAAATGTGATACATTTTGTAGGTGTTAATTTTGGACCCTGATGGGGATGTTGCAGGCAGTTGATCATGCATTCTCGTATCACAATGACCATGAAAATATGATCAATTGTTCAGCACAACTTGTCAAAACCTGCCGCCATTGCCCACTCGAATGCATATAGCACTGTTAGAGATTTGGGTGTGTTGTGCTAGTAGCAGCTAATATAGCCTTGAGCTGCCAGCCTCAAGCAGAGATAAGGTGTGGGCTACAAAGATAGATAAAAGTGCTCCTCTTTTTAACACCACACCCTCAGATTTTTTTTTCATACATGTGATAAGTAACATCACATGATTGATCAATTAGTTTTTATAAATGCTTCACACAGCTGCCTCTGGAGCCACAAAATGCTTTATGTACTATTTCCCAAACACATTAAAAACAAACTTTAATGTGTATAGTTGGTGGAATTACCCTTTAAAAATGTGTCTAAACCCTTAGCCAAAATAACCCTGATGACATCATCAGGGTTATTTTTTCAGATTTTAGAGAGATCCTCTAAAGACATGATAGAGTGATGAGTGATGAGTGATGAGTAAACTGTACTTGATGAGAAAAATGAGTTACACTTTAGGAAAAAAAATAAAAAGACACTTTTAAAACAAACTATCCCTTTGATGGCAACCCTGCAAACTATAATTTGACTCTTTATCAGTGGCAGTACAGTGGGTACTTTCACGCTTTATGTCTTTCATTGTTAAGGCAGAAGTAACGAAACATGCAGTGTTCAAGAAGTCATACGCCCACATGTACTCACAGTGCTGATTAGACAAGATGTCATCTGTATAAACAATAACATCTCAGTATAGTCATTTTCCAAAGCAGTTTCCTATGACCAGTGTCATGTTTCATATTGTTCCACTTAGGATACTGCTTGCAGAATTGTACACATATGTTCTAATGTGTTACAAGTCTTAAGAAACCTTTTTTCTATATATTAAAAGAAAGGCAAAAATTGAAGTTGGGTTAAATATATATAATCCAAAGTTTTTCACTTTAGGATTGCTTTTTTTTTTTTTAAATTAAGATGCACTAAAATTAATTAAAAAATGATGTTTAAAATTGATCTGAGGTCAAATATAGGCTATTTTTTATGGCAAACTGCACATAGACAAACATGAATGAAGAAAATTTTGATTAAATATTCTAATAAACAGAGAATGGAGTGAAAGCAACACTGGGTTATTGAATGCTACAGAGAGAGAGAGAGAGAGAGAGAGAGAAAAATATCAATACCACTGTCAAGTCTGTATGGTAAATATGAGCTATGGCCAGAAGCTCGTTAGCTTAGCTTAGCACAAAGACTTGAAACAGAGAAACAGCTAGCCTAGCTCTGTCCAGTGTAAACAGACTTAAAGGTACTGGTAGCAAGGTTGCCTTCTTGGCAACTTTCTTGCTAGATTTTGCTATTTTGCAGACCTCCTGAGCGACGTTATCTCTAAAAGGCCACTATAAACAAATTTAGCTACTTATTCAGACCTTTAGGGAAGAAAAAAGAAATATATTGTAATTTATTCCAATGCATGTTGCTTAGAGTATCCGCAGTCCACGGCTCTCCACCATCAGCACTGAGTCATCTGGCGAGTCTTTGCTAGCTAGTGCTAGCCACTTTCATTGGAAAAAAGTTGACAACACCGACTGGTAGGCAAATTTTGTAACCACTGACAGAGCCTGGCTAGCTTTTTTCCTGTTTCTAGGTGTTTTTCTAAGCTAAGCTAACTGGCTGTCTGAGGTAGCTTCATATTTCCTGTATAGACATGAGAATGGTACTGATCTTCTCATCTAACCACCACCAGACTCCCAAGGCAAATTAGGGTATTTCCCAAAATGTCAAACTGCTCTGGTAACTCTGTTTAAAATCCTCAGTGACTATTTATAGTAACTGCAGAGTGGATATTAAATATGTAGTAATCAATTATCTACCTATGTTATCTCTATCCTATTAAAACCATAAACACCATATTGCACTTACTTCTGTCTCTACCCTTCAGGGCGAGAATAGCCTTCCAACTCTACTAGGTATAAGGTGCTCAATGAGACAAACTTCCCAAAGTCTGTGTGAAAAGTGGTGTTTTGTTTGTTAAGTGCAGTTTGATTCCTTTATCGTCATGTCCTTTCCCCTGGGCACTGAACACAGGCACTTCTAGCAACTGTGCTGCGGAAAAGGATGTTAATTATGTGTAGCATTGTTTTCCATGTGTTAGCCTGGTGGGGCGGGCTGACTG